CACCCCAAACATGTTCCAAAGACATTCAAGCTGTCTGCAGGCACAGGGAGCTGCTCTGTCTGCTTCGAACTATCCGTCGACATTTAAAATGTCTGAAACGCTATGTTCAGGAGACCCAGGAGGACCCCACTGCTGACACAGAGACTTATAAAAGCAAGACTCAATTTGTAGTGTTTTACAAAATATTTTACTTGAGTGAGCCAAAAGCCTTAAGGGTGTACAATCTAAAGTGGAGATAACTCACAGATATACTAGGGCCAATTTAGACAGGATCCAATTAACCTACCAGCATTCTCTTTGGAGTGTGGGAGGAAAGGCCTACCTCCCCCCAAAAACACAGTACCTCTTAAAAATTATTTATTTGGAGGTTCACTTATGTTTTGTGGGGTCAATTTACGCAGCCTCTGGCACTGGGTGCCTTGACATGTGCAAGGCATCATGAAATCCCTAGGATTACTCAAAGGATTTCTAAAGTCCCTAACTTAGGGCCCAGTACATACACAAACTGGGTAATTTAGACAGGATCCAAGACCTACCAGCATGTCTTTGGAGTGTGGGACAAACCCCAAAAATACGTCGGAAACCCACGCAGGCAAATGGAGAACATGGCAAAGAGGCTGGAGGTGCCTGAAGTGGGATTCAAACCAACGACCCACGATGCTAAAGTCTAACCATTGAACACCTGTGGAGAGATCTTAAAATTGCTGTTTGCCAAAAGTGCATTCTGGGAATTTTGGAAGGTCTCCTGAGGTTATCTTTAAAGGAAGAATGTTCAAGACCCAAACGCAGTATGCAAACGCGGCTAAATAGACGTTTTAACCTACGTTTTTTCAGCAGTCAGTTTCCAAAGGGTTCAACCAAATGTCCCGTTGTAATGGGTGCCTAAACTTTTGCAAGGATGTTTTGGGGTATTGTGTGACTTTATTCCCATATTTGAATGAGGCCTCCTGTATTACTTTTGTTCCAGTATTTACGTAAGAATGAGGTCCTTATAGCAACTTTTTATTGCCAGTATTTATGTGAGAATGAGGTCCTTATTACTTTTATTCCCAGTATTTATGTAAGAATGAGGCCCTTATTACTTTTATTCCCAGTATTTATGTAAGAATGAGGCCCTTATTACTTTTATTCCCAGTATTTGTGTAAGAATGAGGCCCTTATTACTTTTATTCCCAGTATTTATGTAGAATGAGGTCCTTATTACTTTTATTCCCAGTATTTATGTAAGAATGAGGTCCTTATTACTTTTATTCCCAGTATTTATGTAAGAATGAGGTCCTTATTACTTTTATTCCCAGTATTTATGTAAGAATGAGGTCCTTCTTATTACTTACTTTTATTCTTTTATTGAGGTCCTTATTACCCAGTATTTATGTAAGAATGAGGTCCTTATTACTTTTATTCCCAGTATTTATGTAAGAATGAGGTCCTTATTACTTTTATTCCCAGTATTTATGTAAGAATGAGATCCTTATTACTTTTATTCCCAGTATTTATGTAAGAATGAGGTCCTTAATACTTTTATTCCCAGTATTTATGCAAGAATGAGGTCCTTAATGAAGAGTATGGATTAAAGGTTTACAAGAGAGTGGAATGACGGGCGTTGGGCAGTAAGCCCCAAGGTAGGTTATGAGAGGTGGGTACAAGGAAAGTAGATTTTTCTTTAATTTGGCCCTTCCATGTGCAAGAGCCCTTCATCTAATCATGTTGAATAACCCCTGGTAACTGACAACCACTCAGAACTCTGTGCTCTGGAATACTGATTGGTTGTCCTACTCGGCTCAGCACTTTCCATTATATTATTTTCCAACTCTGGAGGGCTGTAAACGCGGAGCACTTATCATAACAAGTTGCATACCTGTATATTGCAGCACGTCCACTTCTACATGGGTTCTTCAGGTCTGTTCTCTAAAATAGACAAGTGAAGTGGTTTTTCCTTGAATTCAAGATGCGTTCAATCCCCGGCAAGAAGTGTTTGTCAGAATTCTGATTGGTTTGTGTGTGACGCACGACATAGACCCGAAATTAAGGCATATTGTGATTCATCTTCTGCTCGATTATTTTTAATTTCGTCCAAACAGACCGATGTTTGGGCTTTTCTCTCTTCACCTCACCCGCTGCTAAGCAATAACTTCAAATAAACCATTCTATCATTCAGCTTACTGGAAATCTATAGTTTTTTTTTTTTCCCCCTGAAGTATTTTCGATCTGTGTTTTGTGTGGATGTCATCCAGCATAGTGGAAATCCTCTTATTAATATGTTGAGGGTTTTTTTTTGCATTATTTATTTTAGCATGTAGCATTTAGTCTAGTCTAGGAAAATTAAGCCAGGGAAAATTGGCTCCTGTTTTATAGGATCTTCCTTCTTTTTTTTTTTTTCTGGGAGGAGGGAGGGGATGATTTGTTCACCTTATTTTATTTATTTATTATTTATTTCAGGGACTTGTATAGCACTGTCAATTTACACAGCACTTTACATATATATCATACATTCACATCAGTCCCTAACCCTCAAGGGGCGTACAATCTAAGGTCCCTAACTCACAATCATACATACACATACTAGGGCCAATTTAGACAGGAGCCAATTAACCTACCAGCATGTCTTTGGAGTATGGGAGGAAACCGGAGTACCCATGCAGACACAGGGAGAACATGCAAACTCCAGGCAGGTGGTGCCGTGGTTGGGATTCAAACCAACGACCCTAGTGCTGCCAGGCGGAAGTGTTAATCATTTAGCCACTGTGCTGCCCCTAATGCATTTGTCTGATTTAATTTAGTTTGGGAAGTTAAATTGCTGCCACCAACCATATCATTGTAAGATGTGTTTTTTGTTTTTTTTTTGGCAAACAAATATATATAATTTTTATTTTGCAATCCAAAAAAACCCTTACCTTCCCCAATACCTGATTGGTTATACTGTTGCATTGGCCTGATCCATAGGAACTATAGGGATTGATTTACTAAACACATTTTCACTCCATTTCCTTAGTAAATTCAATGTGGTAAAGCTTACCCAATCAGGTGCAAGGAAATAATAAAAAGTAAAAGCAAGCTTGCACATGATTGGATGATGGATGGAAATCGGAAGAGCTTTACCACATTTTACTAAACTCTGGAGAAAATGAGTGCAACTGCACTTGCAAAGTGCATAATCTCTTTGCCTTATGTAAATCCACCCCAATGTCTCCATACACTGGACTAATGAAACCATTTGAATAATGGCTCCTTCATGTTCTTTTGAAATCCAAAAAAAAACTCATCTTCCCCAATACCTGATTGGTTATACTGTTGCATTGACCTGATCTATAGAAGCTATAGGGATTGACCTTGCACTTTGCGAGCGCAGTTGCACTCGTTTTCCTTAGTAAATGCAATGTGGTAAAGCTTACCCAATCAGGTGCAAGGAAATTAAAAAAAAAAGCAAGCTTGCACATGATTGGATGATGGATGGAAATCGGAAGAGCTTTACCACATTTTACTAAGCTCTAGAGAAAAGGAGTGCAACTGCACTTGCAAAGTGCATAATCTCTTCGCCTTTTGTAAGTCCACCGCAATGTCTCCATACACTGGACTAATGAAACAGTTTGAATAATGGCTCCTTCACACCAGCGGCTATGTTAGAATGCAGGTGTGCAGTAAAATGACTGCAGTCCCAGTTTGGCGATTGTGGCACATTGCACTGTTTTGAGAATTTTTATGAGTCTGCACTTACCTACAGACACATAATTACAAGGTTTTAAACATTAACTGATATTGGTTATGTTTGCATTAGGCTGGTCTTGTTCATATATGAGACTAAATATTTAAAAAGCATGTATACATTCCCTTTAAAAGTATTTCAAGTGATCCTAAACCCATGACCCTGCATTCACTATATCTGGTCTCCCACAGTACACAGAACACGGAAATGCAATTATTTTAGTAAATATAAACTGCTAAATACCTTTTCTCATCAGCAGTTAGAGCAGTCTTGTGACTTCTATCAGTGTCCAGCAGAGCACTGGTTAAAGCTTGTAGGAGGAGTTTTCATTTTGCTCTAGGAGGATGCAGAACCCCTGACCTCTGTCTGGACAGTGCTGATTGGCCCTGTGCTGATCACATGCACTCTCCCAAGAAAAAAAAAACTCTCCAGCAATGCACACTAAACTGAGCATGTGCAGAAGGGCTACCGGTTCAGTCTGTCTTATCAGTGTGGACATTTTGAAAAAGAGGAATGGCAGAGAAGTCAGGATCAAGCTTCAGCCTTTTTACACAATGCAGAGGATTAACCCCTTAGGTTCCACAATGAGTATAACAAGCATGCTTTACTGCATATACAGACTGATTTTACTGTTGTGGGTTTAGTAACACTTTAACCAGTGCTCTGCTGAAGTCACAAGATTGCTCTAACTGCTGATGAGAAAAGGTATTTAGCAGTTTATATTTACTAAAATAATTGCATTTCCATGTTCTGTGTACTGTGGGAGACCAGATATAGTGAATGCAGGGTCCAGGGAGACCAGATATAGTGAATGCAGGGTCTGGGAAGACCAGATATAGTGAATGCAGGGTCTGGGGAGACCAGATATAGTGAATGTAGGGTCCGGAGAGACCAGATATAGTGAATGCAGGGTCCAGGGAGACCAGATATAGTGAATGCAGGGTCCAGGGAGACCAGATATAGTGAATGCAGGGTCCGGGGAGACCAGATATAGTGAATGCAGGGTCCGGGGAGACCAGATATAGTGAATGCAGGGTCTGGGGAGACTAGATATAGTGAATGCAGGCTTCGGGGAGACCAGATATAGTGAATGCAGGCTTCGGTGAGACCAGATATAGTGAATGCAGGCTCCGGGGAGACCAGATATAGTGAATGCAGGGTCCAGGGAGACCAGATATAGTGAATGCAGGGTCCGGGGAGACCAGATATAGTGAATGCAGGGTCCGGGGAGACCAGATATATAGTGAATGCAGGGTCCGAGGAGACCAGATATAGTGAATGCAGGGTCCGGGGAGACCAGATATAGTGAATGCAGGGTCCGGGGAGACCAGATATAGTGAATGCAGGGTCCGGGGAGACCAGATATAGTGAATGCAGGGTCCGGGGAGACCAGATATAGTGAATGCAGGGTCTGGGGAGACCAGATATAGTGAATGCAGGGTCTGGGGAGACCAGATATAGTGAATGCAGGGTCCGGGAGACCAGATATAGTGAATGCAGGGTCCGGGGAGACCAGATATAGTGAATGCAGGGTCCGGGGAGACCAGATATAGTGAATGCAGGGTCCGGGGAGACCAGATATAGTGAATGCAGGGTCCGGGGAGACCAGATATAGTGAATGCAGGGTCCGGGGAGACCAGATATAGTGAATGCAGGGTCCGGGGAGACCAGATATAGTGAATGCAGGGTCCAAGGAGACCAGATATAGTGAATGCAGGGTCCGGGGAGACCAGATATAGTGAATGCAGGGTCCGGGGAGACCAGATATAGTGAATGCAGGGTCCGGGGAGACCAGATATAGTGAATGCAGGGTCCGGGGAGACCAGATATAGTGAATGCAGGCTCCGGGGAGACCAGATATAGTGAATGCAGGCTCCGGGGAGACCAGATATAGTGAATGCAGGCTCCGGGGAGACCAGATATAGTGAATGCAGGCTCCGGGGAGACCAGATATAGTGAATGCAGGCTCCGGGGAGACCAGATATAGTGAATTCAGGGGCCTGGGTTTCATTTTAAAGCTTTTAGGAGTTTTCTCTCTGCTGTAGGAAGATGTGAAACCCTGGATCCACTGTCTGGACAGTGCTGATTGGCCATGTGCTGATCACATGCACTTTCCCAAGAAAACAAAAATCCTCTATAGCAATACACACCAAACTGAGCATGTGCATATGACTATGAATTCAGTCTGTATCAGGTGGTCATTTCAACAGAGGAGGAGCAGAGAAGTCAGGATCAAACAGCCTTTTAACACAATGCAGAGGATTAACCCTTTAGGTTCCACAATGAGTATAACAAGCATGCTTTACTGCATATACAGACTGATTTTTACTGTTGTGGGTTTAGTAACACTTTAAGGATTGGTCCACTTAAAATTGATATGTCAGTGCTGAGTAGATGTTGTCGGGTTGAATCACCGTCTGGCTTATTATATCTCTCCCTGGGTTTCCAGTGGTAAGATCCCTTGAGTTCCCGTTATGAGCAGGGCTTACACTCTTTGGCAGATGTTTGATTTATTTACATTATGGAGACTGCAGCTGGAGCATGGAGACTTAGTTGAAAGGGGAACAAAGGCATAAACTGTGCCTAAGAGATCTTGTCAATGAAATTCAGAAGAAATATAAGACGTTGGTGGGAGAAGGAATCAGGTTCAGGTAAACCCGAGCCTTTTAAAACATATAATCATGGCATGTAAAATGCTGTGGTTATTATTGCTAATCTTCCATTACCTCCTTGATGAATCATCGGCGTATCTAGAGTGATGCTACATAGTTGTAGAACTTTTTCTAGCATGGTTGTCATCTAACTGCCCATAAAAGAACAAAAATTCAGTGAAATTTCGAACAATTTTTTTTCTGTGGAACATTTAATGTTTATGGCAGGGTTGCTGCCAGAATGACAACTTGCGAAGGTCCTTTTGGTGACCAAGATGTCTTTTTGTAATTCCTTTCTTTTCAAAGGTCAAGTAAAATGCAAACCTTGACCAGAACATATGGTCACTTTGTTAATACAGTCTCAAGTGAATAAACCGGACCAAAACTGTCAGAGCAGTGATCAGAGAATAAAAAAGAGAAATCCGCAAAATCATCCAATATCAAAACCTAGCAAAGAACATTCACCAATACTTATTTTTTGGTTTTCAATACCCAAAAAGACGACATTTACATTAGAGGTAACATATGCTGTGGGAACTAGTAAAGACCTCCTCCATGTAAAACATACAACAGAATAGAGCGATACTGCCAATGGCTGGAGGTGTTGAGTAGGTAGGGAGCAGAAATGTGAATGAGGTGAGGGATATGGAATGAAGGGTAAGGGGGGAAGAAAACCAGAGAGGAAGAGGATGGTTAACACTTCTGCCTGGCAGTACTAAGGTCGTTGGTTTGAATCCCAACCACGGCACCACCTGCCTGGAGTTTGCATGTTCTCCCTGTGTCTGCATGGGTACTCCGGTTTCCTCCCACACTCCAAAGACATGCTGGTAGGTTAATTGGCTCCTGTCTAAATTGGCCCTAGTATGTGTATGTATGAATGTGAGTTAGGGACCTTAGATTGTACGCCCCTTGAGGGTTAGGGACTGATGTGAATGTACAATATATATGTAAAGTGCTGTGTAAATTGACAGCGCTATATAAGTACCTGAAATAAATAAGAGGAGGTGCAGGGGGGAGGAGGAAGGTTATTAGGGTATTTTTATTATTATTACACAGCATTTATATAGCGCCAACAGTTTGCTCAGCACTGTACATTACAATGGGAGACAATACATGAGACAGTACAGTAACAATACAATAAAATACACAAGGGGTTCGAGGGCCCTGCTCCTTGGAGCTTACAATCTAGGAGGGAGGGGAGAGTAGTACAGGAGGAAATAGCTGTGGGGGATGGAGTGGTGGGGAGAGCGGCAGGTAGGTAAGGGCAGGGTAGGCATCCCTGAAGAGATGGGTTTTCAGGGTGCGCCTAAAGGTGAGGAGGGTAGGTGACAGTCTGATGGATTTGGGTAGTGAGTTCCAGAGGATGGGGGAAGCCCTGGAGAAGTCCTGGAGATGGGCATGGAAGGAGGAGACCAGGGAACTGGAGAGTAGGCGGTCTTGTGAGGAGCGGAGAGTGTTTTTTTGGGTGGTAGATGGATATCAGATCAGTGTTATGGACAGCTTTGTACGTCAGTGTTAGCATTTTGAATTTTATGCGTTGGGCAGTCGGAAGCCAGTGGAGGGATTGGCAGAGGGGGGTGGCGGATACGGAGCGGTTGGTAAGGTGGATGAGTCTGGCCGCAGAATTCAGGATAGACTGAAGCGGGGATAGCCTGTGTTGGGGTAGGCCGGCGAGGAGGGAGTTACAGTAGTCAAGTTGTGATATGATAAGGGAGTGAATGAGTTGCTTTGTAGTTTCTGGAGTTAGGAACGGACGTATTTTGGAGATGTTGCGGAGGTGAAGTCTACATGAATTTGTCAGCGATTGGATCTGGGGCTGGAAAGACAGATTGGAGTCTAGAATGACACCTAGTACTCAGGCTTGCGGGGAGGGGCTGATGGTGGCGTTGTTGGTCGTGATGGAGAGGTCGGGAGGGGGGGCATGGGCTGGGGGGAAAACTAGGAGCTCGAGGTCACAGAGTCGCCCCTCTCCCGGGTAAGGGCGGGGAAGGCAAGGCTTCACTGGGAGTTGGATAGCTCTTTGAGGTAGGTATCGGTATATACAAAATAGTTCCAGGGTCTCCAGGTTTTAGTACATAACTCTTCCATGTTATGCAGCGTGGTTGTAAGGTCCTCCATATCAGGCCATTGACTCTGGCAAATCAGAGAGCCTTCGTAGGGGGGTCAGCATTTCTCCAGCAAAGCAGAATACAGGTCTTAGGATCATTTAAGATTTGAATCGTTAGAGAAGTTTTGTATTTTTTGATCGGTTTATCAGTCAAGTGTAATAGGCAAGCCACCAGTTTGTCATGCAGAACCACAGCAGTGAGTGGGTTATTGACAGTGGTTACATCTTGCCAGAATGGCTGAATTTTCAGACAAGTCCAAAAAATGTGGAGCATGGTCCCACCCTCTGTGCTACAATGCCAGCATGGGTCGAGGATCTGGGGATATATATGGTGAAGCAGGAAGGGGACCCTGTACCATCTTGTGAGGATTTTGTAACTAGTCTCTTGGATCCTTTGTGGCCATAGAGGACTTTTGGGCAAAATGGAAAATTTTCTTCCTTTGAATAGGAGTAAGACTCGGGCCTAGATCGGATTCCCACTTTGTGAGAAAGGAGGGCATATAATCCTTCCCAGGGTGCCTCAAGGAACCATAAAACAGGGAAAGAGAGTGACGTGCCGGTTCCCCTCTTTGTCATGGTGATTGAAATCCAGTGAGCGTACTAGTAGTGTGTGACCAAGATGTCTTGCCCTTTGGCATAGCTAGGGTAAGGCACTGGGCACCAGTATGGGATAATGATGATCTCTTGCCTAAAGTCTATCATACATGGCTTGAATTTCAGATGAAATTTGAGCCGAGGGGCTCTGTTGGCAACAGCTGGCTGGACAAAAGTTGATCTTTTAGTGCCCATTCAAGCTTTATCCTTGATCCTCATACTCACCTGCCCAATGAATCTAGCTCTGTTCTGCTGTGATCCAATAATGTAGCACGGCCTCAAGCTTTCTTCTGCTGCTTCTCGAATATCATCAGGAGCCGGATGTCCATCCTGGGTTCAGACAGCCGGCTCCCAATGATGGGCCACTAGCTCCACCCACAGGCCCATGTGTATTCCTGCTCCTGCAGCCTCTTAGGATATATAAGAAGGATGTACTAGGAGGCTGCTGGAGCAGGGAGAAGTCATTATTGATTCTTGCCTATGGTGAGAATGTAGGCCAGATACTGTGTGTGCGTGTGTGCGCGCGCGCCTGCACGTGTGTGTATGTAACTTGCAGAGGAGGAGGGTTCAAAGAGGAAAACGTTTATGGAACACAGGCCCACTTTAAAAAGTGGAGGCAGCCTTCTCCTGCTGTGTATACAGTTGCAAGAAAAAGTATGTGAACCCCTTGGGATTACGTGGAGTTTTGCATGAATTGGGCATAAAATGTGCTCTGAACGTCATCTAAGTCACAATAGAAGAACACAGTCTGCTGAACATAATACTACACAAACAGATGTTGCCATGAATTAATTGCACATAACATGTAAACATTCACAGTGCAGGGAGGAAAAAGTATGTGAACCTTTGGACTTCATAACTGGTTGACCCTCCTCTGGCAGCAATAACCTCAACCAAACGTTTCCTGTAGTTGCAGATCAGACCTGCACAACGATCTGGAGTAATTTTGGACCACTCCTCTTCACAAAACTGTTTCAGTGTAGCAATATTCTTGGGATGTCTGGTGTGAATCGCTCTCTTAAGGTCATGCCACAGCATTTCAATCGGGTTGAGGTCAGGACTCTGACTGGGCCACTCCAGAAGGCATATTCTGTGCTGTTGCAGCCAATGTTTTGTTGAATTACTTGTATACTTTGGGTCATTGTCCTGTTGCATCACCCATCCTCTGTGGAGCTTCAGTTGGCGGACAGATGGTCATACGTTTTCCTGCAAAATGTCTTGATAAACTCTGGAATTCATTTTCCCATCAATGACAACAATCTGTCCAGGCCCTGAGGCAGCAAAGCAGCCCCAAACCATGATGCTCCCTCCGCCATGTTTTACAGTGGGGATGAGGTTT